TCCCCCGTGTAGGTACGCTCTAGGGAACCGTCTTGGGGGCCTCGGAGCCCCCTTGGGCTGTCTGGGGGCCCCCTTGGGCCGTTTCGGGCCCGCTTGGAGACTTTTTGGGCCATCTTGGGGCGATTTGGGAGGCCTCTTGGGCCGTCAGGGGGCGTCGGGAAGCCAAGAAGGCGAAAACATCCAAATCCGTCCAAAGCACACAGAACATCTGTAATTCTGTACCTCTTGGGCCTTTTTCGGAGTACTCTTGGAGGCCTCCTGGAGTGTCTCAGAGGTGTCTTCGACCGTCTGGAGGCACTCTTCGGCGGCTGGGACGGAGAATTCGGCGGTTCGGGGCCCTCGTGGACCGTCTTGGAGGCCTCTTCAGGGGCAGCGATAAGGGGGGATAGGCACAGGGGGGGATGCATCGACCCCCAGTCGCCCATTGATCGGCGATAGGGGCCTGATAGCCCCACCCCGCCCAGGAGCGTGCGGATCTGCTATCCAGGGGCCCATCGCCGATTTGTCGGCCATGCATCGCCGATTCCAGGTCGATGTTTTCCCCCCCTATGCCCCGGCGGCTGATAGACCTCCTATCCTGACACGTTGATTAGCGGATTGGCCGTTGTCGGTTCGCGAGAGGGCATCGCGGCCGTCATTTTTGCGGGTCCAGGTCCGTCGGTTTCGGTCCTGGGCCGTTTTCACTAAGGGGTGGTTTACTAAAGGGGGGTTTGTCCACCGCCGAGTTCCCCCCCTATGCCAGTCCCCCCCTATCGTTGCCCCTCACCTCTAGGGGCGCTCTTGGGCCGCCTTGGGCTTTTGCTGGCCTCTCCAGGACCCCCGGGGGGGGTGCTGGTCGAGAGGTCAAGAGAGAGTCTTTCTTGACCTCTCGCCCCCCCCCCCGCGGGGAAGGGATCAAAAGGGGAAGGGGCTCCCATTAAAAACAACGATAATACGTAATCAAACAAACATAAGAATTCAAGTTCACCCACAAATAACAGAGAAGCGTAAAGTTCAACCGAACGTGCAATTATTTTAACAAAATACAGCAAATTCTAAACAACAAATGAACACCAAAGCATTTGATGATTTGTATATACATATATACATATAACTTCATTGACAAAGGATGAATTAATGTCCCCTTCGACTCAACCGCGACGTTGGTCAATTTCGCTTTGGCTGGCGCGCTTGAGGAGCAGGGCCCAGGGAAAGTTGGGGGGAGCGGCGACGGCGACGCCGACGACGACCACGACGACGACGAACGGAAGAGCCTCTGTGCCACACGCCGGCAGGGGGGTCGGCGGGTTCTTCACACACGCCCACATCCTTCAGGCAGGTGGCGGACGCAGAGGAGGGCAAGCCTCGACAGCGGCAACTGGCCTTCGGGGGGCCCCCCCTCGTCGCCGCGGCTGGGCGCAGCTCTCGGCGAACTGGTGCGTTCTTGGGCCTCGGGGGAGGGGGGCCCGGGGGCCGACATCTTTGAGGTGCTGTCGCTTCCGGTCGCCCTGCTTCGACGCTTCCCTTCCCTCCCTTCCCTCAAGTCGGGCCTGTTCCTCTACAGGAGGAATGCGTATTCCTCTACAGGAGGAATGCGTATAATGAAAGCGCGCCAGTGGATGGCCCTGAATACACAAAAGGGGGGGGCTCGCAGAACCCCCCCTCCCCCCTCCCCCCCTTCAAAGTGGGGGTGAGATTTTCGACCCCCCCCCCCTTCCCCCCCTTAAACGGGGGGGGGGGTCCGAACCTCCTTCCCCCCCGTTGAAAGGGGTGGGGAGGGTTTCGGACCCCCCGCCCTCCCCCCCTTGGCGCTGGAAAGTGGGGGGGGGTTCGACCCCCCTCCTTCCCCTTCCCCCCTTTGCGTCGAACAGGGGGCTGGGGAGGGGGCCTCTCGGGTAGCGAGTAGAGAGCAGAGTGCTTGAATTAGCGACTGGTGAGTAGTAGGTATTTGATAGTGAGTATTGCGCAGTGAGTCGTGAGTAGTGAGTAGTGCGTAGTGGGTAATGGGTAGTGGTAGTAGTGAGTAGTGCGTAGACATTAGTGAGTAGCGGGTAGTGAATAGTGGGTGGTGAGTAGTGGGATGGAAGGAGAGAGTAAGGAATTATGAGTAGTGAGTGGTGGGGAGTGAATAGTGTGTAGAGAGTAGTGCATAGTGAGTAGTAAGCATGAAGTAGGGATGAGGGAGTAGACAGTAGCGAACCGCGAGGAGTGAGTAGTGAGTAGTGAGTAGTGCACAGTGAGTAGAGAGTAGTGAGTAGTGAGTGGTGAGTAGCGAGTAGCGAGTAGGGAATTGCGAGTAGGGAGTAGCGAGTAGTGTTTAGTGACTAGCGAGTAGGGCCTTGTGAGTGGTGAGTAGTGAGGAGGGAGTAGTCAGGAGCCAGGGGTGCATAGTGAGTAGGGAGTAGTGCGTAGCGACTAGGGAGTAGCGAGTAGTGAGTAGTGAGTGGTGAGTAGTGAGTAGTGAGTAGGGAGTCGTGAGTAGTGAGGAGAAGCGAGAAATGGGTATTGAGTAGTGGGTAGTGACTAGAGAGTTGCGGGTAGAAATTCGTGAGTAGTGAGTAGTGAGTAGTGAGTAGGGAGTAGGGAGTAGCTAGTTTCGACTAGTGACTAGTGAGTAGGGAGTAGGGAGCAGTGAGTAGCGAGTTGTGCGTAGTGGGTCGTGAGTATATCGTAGTGGGTACCGAATAGCGGATAGTGAGCAGTGAGTTGTGGGCAGTGCGTATTGAGTAGTGAATTGTGAGTACCCGGTAGTAAGTAGTGGATAGCGGTTAGTGGGTAGTAGGTCGGGCTTAGTGAGTAGTGAGTTGTGGGCAGTGACTAGTGTTCAGTGAGTAGTGAGTATTGAGAATTGGGTAGTGAGTAGTGCGTTGGGAGTAGTCAGTAGGGAGTAGGAAATAGTGAGTAGTGGGTCGTGGGAGCGTAGTGAGTAGTGAGTAATGGGTGGTGAATAGTGCGTATCGGGTAGCGAGTAGGGCGTTGGGATTAGCGAGTAGTGAGTACTGAGTACTGTGTAGGGAGTAGGGAGTAGCGAATAGCGAATGGTGGATAGTGAGTAGTGAGTTGTGGGCAGTGAGTAGTGAGTAGTGAAGTGTTAGTGAGTAGTGAGTAGTGGGTAGTGAGAAGTGGATAGTGGTTACTGGGTAGTGAGTAGTGATTTGTGATTAGTGAGGAGTGGGTTGTGAGCTGTGTCTAGTATGTAATGAGTGTTGAGTAGTGGGCAGTGAGTAGTGAGTAGTTTGTGGTGAGTAGTGAGTAGTGAGTTAGTGAGTAGGGAGGAAGGAGTAGTGAGTAGTGGGTAATGGGTAGTGAGTCGTGGGTAGTGAGTGAGAAGTGAATCGTGGGTAGTGAGTAGTGAGTATTGAGAATTGGGTAGTGAGTAGTGCGTTGGGAGTAGTCAGTAGGGAGTAGGAAATAGTGAGTAGTGGGTCGTGGGAGCGTAGTGAGTAGTGAGTAATGGGTGGTGAATAGTGCGTATCGGATAGCGAGTAGGGCGTTGGGATTAGCGAGTAGTGAATACTGAGTACTGTGTAGGGAGTAGGGAGTAGCGAATAGCGAATAGTGGATAGTGAGTAGTAAGTAGTGGGCAGTGAGTAGTGAGTAGTGAAGTGTTAGTGAGTAGTGGGTAGTGAGAAGTGGATAGTGGTTAGTGGGTAGTGAGTAGTGATTTGTGATTAGTGAGGAGTGGGTTGTGAGCTGTGTCTAGTATGTAATGAGTGTCGAGTAGTGGGCAGTGAGTAGTGAGTAGTTTGTGGTGAGTAGTGAGTGGTGAGTTAGTGAGTAGGGAGGAAGGAGTAGCGAGTAGTGGGTAATGGGTAGTGAGTCGTGGGTAGTGAGTGAGAAGTGAATCGTGGGTTGTGAGTAGTGAGTAGTGAGAAGTGAGTATTGAGTAGCGAGTAGTGAATTGTGGGTAGTGAGTAGTGCGTAATGAGTAGTGAGTACTGTTTGGGGCCAGGGTTTTGGTTACGGGTTATTGTTGGGGGTTAGGGTAAGGGTGAGGATTAGTGTTAGGGGTGGTCGGGGTCGGGTTCTGGAGACCGGGGGCGCCGTGGCGAAATGGGGGCTCGAATTTGGCGGCCAAAGGGGGGGAGGGGGGGGTGTAGAACCCCTCCCCTCTTAAAAGGGGGGGAGGGTGGGGGTCCCCGACGACGGACCGGGAAAAGGGGGAGAGGGGGGTCTCCGACGACGGATCGGGAAGGGGGGGGAGGGGGGGGGGGATGTTCCCCGACGATGGATCGGGGAAAGGGGGGGGGTCCAACACCCCCCCCCTTTGGGTCATCCCGCGGCGCACCCTCAAAAATAGTCAGGGGCGATTTGTTTTGGTATTTTTGGGCCCTTGGGGAGTATTCTTTTTTGTTGTTGTGACTATTTTGCATCTTTCGCCCAAGACGCCCCTGTAGGAGGAGAGGTCCGACTTAACCCTTCCCTCGTCTTTTGGCCTCTCCCTGCGCCTCCGCGGGGGCTCCGGTCCACGGCTGGAGGAGGCGCCCCACGAGAGCCCCCCAGCCATTTAGGGCGCGCCCCACCGGGGGGGCCTCCGGCGGCAGCGGCGACTCTCGAAGTCTGCTCGCTCCCCCACGGGGCCCGTCGCGGTCCGATCGAGCAGACTCGGCGTCGATTCGGGCCATCCCGACCGGATTCGGTTTTCCGATGTGCCGACGAGCCGATTCGATTTTTCGATATGCTCGTTTCCCCACGGGGCCATTTCGGTCCGATCGAGCCGACTCGGCGTCGACTCGGGCCACCCCGACCTGATTCGGTTTTCCGATGTGCCGACGAGCCGATGCGGCCCGATGTGTGTGTGTGTGTGTGTGGCACCGTTGCGCAGCCCGGCGCAACCGATGCGGTTCGATGTCGCCTCCGTGCCGATGCAGCCGGTGCCGATGCACACTTCGATCCGACCCGGTTTACGGGTTGGATGCTGCTCCTCTTCCTCCTCCTCTTCCTCCTCCTCCCCCTCCTCCTCCTTCTCCTCCTCCTCCTCTCCCTCCTCCTTCTCCTCCTCCTCCTCGATTCTCCCCCAGGAGTCCGCGGAGGTATACTACTCCCTCGTGACCCCGGAGGGCCAGCCCTTCGGAGAGCTCGCCCATGCCTCCATCGCCGCTGCGCCAGTGCCGGCGCAGGCGGAGCCGCCTCCTGCTCCTCTTCCTCGTCCTCCTCCTTGGCCTCCTCCTTGGCCTCCTCCTCCTCCTCCTCCTCCTCCTCCTCCTCTCTCCTCCCTCCTCCTCCTCCTCTCTCCGCCTCCTCCTCCTCCTGCTCCTCCTGCTGCTGCTGCTCCTCCTCCTCCTTTTCCTCCTCATCCTCCTCCTCCTCCTCGTCCTCGTCGTCGTCGTCGTCCTCCTCCTCCTCCTCCTCCTCCTGAGCCGAAGCCCGCCGTCGCCCTCGTGGCGTCGCCGATGGACGGGCTGGGCGGCGGCGTGGAGGCGCTGCAGGGCGAGGTCAAGGTCGTCGAGTGGACCCTGGCGAACGTGGGTCGCGGGGCGTGGCCCGAGGACTCGGCGTCGTCTAGCCGATCCCTCGGGGGAAGGAGGAGGAGGAGGAGGCGGAGGAGGAGGAGGAGGAGGCGGAGGAGGAGGACGAGGAGGACGACGAGGACTGGGACGAGGAGGAGGAGGAGGAGGAAGACGAGGAGGAGGAGGAGGAGGAGGACCAGTGTAAGCCCAGGAGTCATCAACGATGTTGGAATTCACCCTCCCTCCAAGCTCCCTCTTCATAGGCCCCTACAACGGTTCACCCCGTGCCGAAGGTTCCGCAGCTTGTGGGGCTCGTGCTTGTGAGGGACGCACGGGGCGCTGGTAAGATAGTGCGATTATTGCCCTTTCGATGAGCACCCTCACGAGCACCCCGCAGGTTAGGGATCCGGGGCGACACCAGCAATCCATCTTTCTGGCTGTCGGTGGGTGTGCCTTCCACCTGGTCTGCCCGCGGGCAGCGAGTTGCATTCCCATTCGTTTATGGCTGTCGGTGGGGTGACATCCACCTTGTCAAAGGCCCCTTAAAGGGGGCGGAGGGGGATGTGGGACCCAGGCCCCGTCGCGTCGTTGTCCATGGCTGTCGGTGGGTGGGCCTTCCACCGTTCGGGACCCGGGAGGGACTCCACGCGTGGGGCGCCCGGGGCGGTGTTCGGGGAGGTGCCCAAGGGTGCACCCATTGTGGTGCCCAAGGTGGTGCACAGGCCCACTGGGGGGGGGGGGCCCTAGGTAGCGCCCGAGGTACCCAGGGAGGTACCCGAGGTGCCCGTTGGTTTCATGCACGTGCTTATTGGGCGGAGTACCCGTGGCACCCATGGAGGCACTCGAGGTACCCAGGGAGGTACCCGAGGTGCCCAAATTGACGCCGTGCACATGCTTATAGGGACGGGTACCCGAGGGACCCAAGGAGGCACCCGAGGTACCCAGGGAGGTACCCGAGGTGCCCAATGGCTGTCATGCACATGCTTAGTTGTCATGCGCATGCTTATTGGGAGTGGTACCCGAGGTACCCAAGGAGGCACCCGAGGTACCCAGAGGGGTACCCGAGGTGCCCAAGTGTTGTCACGCACATGCTTATTGGGAGGGGTACCCGAGGGACCCAATACCCAAGGTGTCCAATAGTTGTCATGCACATGCTTATTGGAAGTGGTACCCGAGGTACCCAAGGAGGCACCCGAGGTACCCAGGGAGGTACCCGAGGTGCCCAATTGTTGTCATGCACATGCTTATTGGGAGGGGTACCCGAGGGACCCAAGGAGGCACCCGAGGTACCCAGGGAGGCACCCCAGGTGCCCAATGGCTGTCATGCACATGCTCAGTTGTCATGCGCATGCTTATTGGGAGTGGTACCCGAGGTACCCAAGGAGGCACCCGAGGTACCCAGGGAGGTACCCGAGGTGCCCAAGTGTTGTCATGCACATGCTTATTGGGAGGGGTACCCGAGGGACCCAATACCCAAGGTGCTCAATAGTTGTCATGCACATGCTTATTGGGAGTGGTACCCGAGGTACCCAAGGAGGCACCCGAGGTACCCAGGGAGGTACCCGAGGTGCCCAAGTGTTGTCATGCACATGCTTATTGGGAGGGGTACCCGAGGGACCCAATACCCAAGGTGCTCAATAGTTGTCACGCACATGCTTATTGGGAGTGGTACCCGAGGTACCCAAGGAGGCACCCGAGGTACCCAGGGAGGTACCCGAGGTGCCCAATTGTTGTCATGCACATGCTTATTGGGAGGGGTACCCGAGGGACCCAAGGAGGCACCCGAGGTACCCAGGGAGGTACCCGAGGTGCCCAATGGCTGTCATGCACATGCTTAGTTGTCATGCGCATGCTTATTGGGAGTGGTACCCGAGGTACCCAAGGAGGCACCCGAGGTACCCAGGGAGGTACCCGAGGTGCCCAAGTGTTGTCATGCACATGCTTATTGGGAGGGGTACCCGAGGGACCCAATACCCAAGGTGCTCAATAGTTGTCATGCACATGCTTATTGGGAGTGGTACCCGAGGTACCCAAGGAGGCACCCGAGGTACCCAGGGAGGTACCCGAGGTGCCCAATTGTTGTCATGCACATGCTTATTGGGAGTGGTACCCGGTGTACCCAAGGAGGCACCCGAGGTACCCAGGGAGGTACCCGAGGTGCCCAATTGTTGTCATGCACATGCTTATTGGGAGGGGTACCCGAGGGACCCAAGGAGGCACCCGAGGTACCCAGGGAGGTACCCGAGGTGCCCAATGGCTGTCATGCACATGCTTAGTTGTCATGCACATGCTTATTGGGGTGGTACCCGAGGTACCCAAGGAGGCACCCGAGGTACCCAGGGAGGTACCCGAGGTGCCCAAGTGTTGTCATGCACGTGCTTATTGGGAGGGGTACCCGAGGGACCCAATACCCAAGGTGCTCAATAGTTGTCATGCACATGCTGGTGGGGAGTGGTACCCGAGGTACCCAAGGAGGCACCCGAGGTACCCAGGGAGGTACCCGAGGTGCCCAAGCGTTGTCATGCACATGCTTATTGGGAGGGGTACCCGAGGGACCCAATACCCAATGTGCTCATAGTTGTCATGCGCATGCTTATTGGGAGTGGTACCCGAGGTACCCAAGGAGGCGCCCGAGGTACCCAGGGAGGTACCCGAGGTGCCCAATTGTTGTCATGCACATGCTTATTGGGAGGGGTACCCGAAGGACCCAAGGAGGCACCCGAGGTACCCAGGGAGGTACCCGAGGTGCCCAATGGCTGTCATGCACATTCTTAGTTGTCATGCGCATGCTTCTTGGGAGTGGTACCCGAGGTACCCAAGGAGGCACCCGAGGTACCCAGGGAGGTACCCAGGGAGGTACCCGATGTGCCCAAGTGTTGTCATGCACTTGCTTATTGGGAGGGGTACCCGAGGGACCCAATACCCAAGGTGCTCAATAGTTGTCATGCACATGCTGATTGGGAGTGGTACCCGAGGTACCCAAGGAGGCACCCGAGGTACCCAGGGAGGTTCCCGAGGTGCCCAAGTGTTGTCATGCACGTGCTTATTGGGAGGGGTACCCGAGGGACCCAATACCCAAGGTGCTCAATAGTTGTCATGCACATGCTTATTGGGCGTGGTACCCGAGGTACCCAAGGAGGCACCCGAGGTACCCAGGGAGGTACCCGAGGTGCCCAATTGTTGTCATGCACATTCTTATTGGGAGGGGTACCCGAGGGACCCAAGGAGGCACCCGAGGTACCCAGGGAGGTACCCGAGGTGCCCAATGGCTGTCATGCACATGCTTAGTTGTCATGCACATGCTTATTGGGAGTGGTACCCGAGGTACCCAAGGAGGCACCCGAGGTACCCAGGGAGGTACCCGAGGTGCCCAATTGTTGTCATGCACATGCTTTTTGGGAGGGGTACCCGAGGGACCCAATACCCAAGGTGCTCAATACTTGTCATGCACATGCTTATTGGGAGTGGTACCCGAGGTACCAAGGAGGCACCCGAGGTACCCAGGGAGGTACCCGAGGTGCCCAAGTGTTTGTCATGCACATGCTTTGTTGGGAGGGTGTGTACCCGAGGGACCAATACCAAGGTGGCTCAATAGTTGTCATGCGCATGCTTATTGGGAGTGGTACCCGAGGTACCCAAGGAGGCACCCGAGGTACCCACGGAGGTACCCGAGGTGCCCAAGCGTTGTCATGCACATGCTTATTGGGAGGGGTACCCGAGGGACAAAATACCCAAGGTGCTCAATAGTTGTCATGCGCATGCTTATCGGGAGCGGTACCCGAGGTACCCAAGGAGGCACCCGAGGTACCCAGGGAAGTACCCGAGGTGCCCAAGTGTTGTCATGCACATGCTTATTGGGAGGGGTACCCGAGGACCCAAGGAGGCACCCGAGGGACCCAGGGAGGTACCCGAGGTTGCCCAATGGCTGTCATGCCCATGCGTAAGTTGATCATGCACAGGCTATTGGAGTGGTACCGAGGTACCCAAGGAGGCACCCGAGGTACCCAGGGAGGTACCCGAGGTGCCCAAGTGTTGTCATGCACATGCTTATTGGGAGGGGTACCCGAGGGACCCAATACCCAAGGTGTTCAATAGTTGTCACGCACATGCTTATTGGGAGTGGTACCCGAGGTACCCAAGGAGGCACCCGAGGTACCCAGGGAGGTACCCGAGGTGCCCAATGGCTGTCATGCACATGCTTAGTTGGGAGGGGGTACCCGAGGGACCCAATACCCAGGTGCTCAATAGTTGTCAATGCACATGCTTATTGGGAGTGGTACCCGAGGTACCCAAGGAGGCACCCGAGGTACCCAGGAGGTACCCGAGGTGCCCAGTGTTTTGTCATGCACATGCTTGGAGGGGTACCCGAGGGACCCAATACCCAAGGTGCTCAATAGTTGTCATGCACATGCTTATTGGGAGTGGTACCCGAGGTACCCAAGGAGGCACCCGAGGTACCCAGGGAGGTACCCGAGATGCCCAATTGCTGTCCGGCTGCCGGCGACCGGCCACTGGCGACCGGCTGGCCGGCGACCAGCGTCCGGCGCCCGGCGACCGGCGGCCCCATGCGGGGGACCGGCTTCCTCCTCCTCCTCCTCCTCCTTTCGGGTCGTCCGTCGGCCTGTCGGCCGCGCTTCGGCGCATGCACCCTTACCCTTACCCTTACCCCTAGTCAAGACGAGATCAGGGCCAGGACGACATCGGTACATGATACATCGGCGATCTTTGAGACCAGGGGTTCCCGAGGACGCATCGAGCGCCGCCGCGGTCGTTCCAGAGCGCCCCCGAGCGCTCCGAGGGCGTCCCGCCGCTCTCTGGAACAATTCTACCCTGGCGCTGGCGAGGCCCAGGCTGGCGAGGCCTCCTCCTCGCCCTCCTCCTCCTCCTGCTCCTCCTCCTCCTCCTCCTCCTCCTCCTCCTCCTCCTCCTCCTCCCTCCTCCCTCTTCCTCCCTCCTCCTCCCTCCTCCTCCCTCCTCCTCCCTCCTCCTCCCTCCCTGCTCTTCCTCGTCGCTCCCTGCGCCGCACCCGCGCCGGCTCCTGA